CACACACACACACACACACTGCTGAAACACACAGTGTGTCTAGTAACGCATCCAGACTCTTCTGTAAGACACGTGTGATCTGAACGGCCCCTGATCAGCATTGATGGCTCCATGAAGAACCTTTAACTTCCATTGTATCTTTCCATTGCACAAAAGGTTCTTTTCTTTATAGTGGAAGAAAGGTTTTTCAGATGATTAAATGTTCTTCACACTAAGAAAAAAATGGTTAAGAACCAATTTCTGAAAGGTTCTTTGGTGAACCAAAAACGGTTCTTCTGTGGCATCATTGTGAAAACCCCCTTTTGGAAGCTTTATTTTTAAGAGAGTATTATTTTGCTCTGATCTGACGCAGTGATGTGACCGATTCCTTCACAAAGGAAATTCCAGCCAACACAAATGCACCATAATAAACAAACTATAATCATTTCCACAAATTAGGCCAGATCGTTTCCATGCCAGCAGTGAACTAGACCCTCGTCTGGAAAGATTTCACAGCAAGCAAGCATGAGAATCACCACCACGAACAGACATGTTTGTTTGTAAAAGGGATCTTTAACCCAAAAATGTAATTGTGTCCATTGTGTCCAATTTACTCCATTCATCTTGTTCAAACATGACTTTCTTTCCTCTGTGAAACAAAAAAGGTGTTTTGAAGAACATTGGCAACCAAACAACATTGGACCCCAATATGGACAAAAAAATAGACATTTAGAGACATGAGACATTTATCAAAATATCTTCTTTTGTGTTCCACGGAAGAAAGTCAATCACACAGGTTTGAGCAACATGAGGGTGAGTAAAGGATCATTTTTGGGTGAACGATGCCTTTAATTGTTAATAGGACAGAACATTGGAACGCAGTCAGACGAGAGGAACAGAGGACGACCGCCAGAGGGAAATCTGTATAGAATCATAACACGGCGGAGACAGAGCCTCAAGGTCAGATCTCATGAGTCTAGATCGCTCATCCGTCACTGCTCTAGAACAGACCCTGTTACACCGATAACACCTGCTGTTTTAATCCGTCTCTTCTGTCCACTTTCCTGACTTCTCTGAGGGGAGGGACTATCGGCTTTTTCTGATCTTTCGATCTAATATTGCGAAATAGGCTTGAGCAATTTACATAAGAACGTGAAAAGAGGCAACAGAAAATGATACCGAGAGCAGCAGCTTTCGTTTCTGCTCTGATAGCCACAAAACTAAGCCGAACGCTGTGGATTTGTGTTAGAATCAGGAATGATAATTGTGCTTTTTACATTTTTGCTCCAACAACACGTCCTGTAATGTTTATATCAGCAGGCAGAGAGGAACCGGTCTTTAAGCAATGTGGTCGAATGCGTTTTTCAAAGTGGACAAGCGCAAACCATTTCAGATCCCATCACCTGTATGTAGCGTTGTGATCAGATCGACAAAAATGCATTTTAATACCAGGCTCCTGCAGAGTTCAGCTCCAACACCAAACCAACACACCTGATGCAACTGGTGAGTGAGTTATACCTTCAGAAACCTCAAGAAGATCAACCCTGACATGAGGCGCCTCACACAAGACCCGTCTAACCCCTGAGTCTATGGAGCAGACGGAAAGCAGCGGAAGTGAATGACAGTGCTGAAGAAAAGCACAGGAACTGCTGCAAACATCACCTGCGCTCATCATACGGCCTCGCTGTGAAACACACATCTGCTCTGAGTCTGCATCTCTGAGATTCTGGCCAGTGTTTCTATTGAAACAGCACGTCTCATGTCTCCTTAATATGAATCAGCCGTGCTGTGTTAGAGACAGAGACAGAGACAGAGAGAGAGAGAGAGAGAGAGAGAGCCACTGTGACGGTGCAAAAACAGGCTTGGGGACACAGCAGGACGTCTGGACTGGATGGGTGTCTCAGATTCACAGCTCTGATCACGTCCCACCAAAGAGACTTTCTGGCCAATAAACAAAGAGACAGAGAGGACAAGGGCAGAATAATGGTGGGAGGAGATGTCATCAGTGTGCACGTCTGTCCAGACAGTGACCTTTTGACCTTCAGATGCTTTCTTTGAGCTTTTATGAGGAGCAAACAGACAGAGAGGAGGAGACGCATCTGAACCAATACACACACACACACACACACACACTCACACACTCACACAGACACACACACACACACACACACACACACACACACTCACACAGACTCACACACACACACACACACACACACACAGACACACACAGACACACACACTCACACAGACACACTCACTCACACACACTCACACTCACTCTCACTCTCACTCTCAC